ACAATTAGTTACAATCAGCTATAAGAAGTTACACAAACTATACAAATGCCAAACTATACAAATTCTGATAATAGTCTTATAAGCTAAGAGGGGAGTGTCACACACACCCAGTTCCCCTGTTTGTTTTTCTACACACCCAGGTTCACTTTCGGGCATGACATGTACTTTTCACCCGTTTTCACTGCCACCAGAGGATATGTTCCTCTCTGTACCAAATATGACTATTAGATCAGTGTTGTCCTGATAGATAGGGGGCAAGGATGAGGTTCTGATATAACATATTCGAAGTACTGGCTTTACAATTTAAGACAACACATGCTATTTGATTCACATGTACTTACACAAGTAATCATACCTTGTACCTGTAATTGAAATATAATTTCACTATTTCCTTACTATAATTATCTGTACCTTATACGCATTTTGTATCGTCAATGCATTTTTTGGTATCTTCCTTTCATCTCAAAGTAGTACTCCTGACCCCTCCCGTTTGGCACTCACAGCTGCACAGCTTTGTGAGAACCAGCCCCTTTCAAGGCCAGAATAACTCCTTTTTCACAGCGTTTCAGGCCAGCAAAGAATGTAACATGGATGGCTCATAATCCGTCATTAACATATTTAGAGATAAACTGCACGATGGTTCACACATTCACAAACTTGGACTTGGCAGCCACTAACCCTGGGATGCAATTTGGATATTTGGATATTTTTCCTCACATCTACCACAGCCAATAGGGTGACCCAAACAGGCACACATAGGGTTCAGAAGAGCCATAGGGGGATGCTGTGCTTTATTGTCCTTTGTATAAATTGCTTTTACCCATTAATGAGGGGGCTCGTTCCGTTTTTAGGAACGACGCCCAGTCATAGGTATGTTTGAATAAAATTGGCTTATACATAGACTGATCGATGCACTATTTTTTTCTGTTATTCCCTGCCGGAGAAATAAAAAACCTAAAATTGGGTGCTAGCCAGCAGTGAATCTGGCCAGTGCACAGCCCCCACGGCCCACCTCTGGTTCATCCGGACAGGGTCCCTTCGGCACTGGCCATTTACTCTTGTTACATTTATGTTTGCTTATGTAGATTCACTTTAATTAAGGTATTTATATATTCAACTATTTATTTATTTATTAGTACTTTTAACTCTTTCTAATCTTAAGCACATAAACTTTCCAAGGCTTATCCTATTCCTAACTTTTCAATCTCTTTCTCTATCTCTCTATTACTCTCCTCTCTGACACAACCACGGCCCTAACTGCCTAAACTGTCAATAACTGTCTTTCTTTCTCCTTTTATTTTTTTTGGTTCCACCACTCCTGTCATGTCATAGGCTCTCTCACCAGAGCTCTGACTTGACTGACAGGAGTGTTCTGAGAGCTGTCCGTCACAGGGAGTTTAATAGGAAAAACTATAGCTCAATGTTGGAGCACATGCTCTGCATGTAGATGGTCCAAGATTCTATCTCTTACTCATGAAACCCCAATGAACATTCCTTTCTTCTAGAGGCATCCCAGACTGTGCAGACAAAATAGATCTGGGTGGAACAATAGTCTAGTTGTTTCAGTACAATGCAGCTTCTTATGGTCTGTGAAAGTTAAAAATCTTTCACAGGTTATGATAAGAGATGAGCATAAACCTCAGTTTGGAGGTTCATGCCCGGGGCTTGAAAAATCCATTCATCCACTCCTCTGGGTTGAGTGAAAAAATGCTGCTTGATGAGCCATAGCTTCTCCCCTCCCTCCTTGCCTCCTTATACTCAGTCCGTCTCTCTCTCTCTCTCTGATCCTGCAGTCCTTCCCTCCCCCTTCCCATTGCAAAAAGAAAAACAGTTCTCTTCTCATGAGAAGAAAGTTTGAGCGGCACATAGATATATAGCTCTGCAGGAGAATGTAGAGTAGTCCCATGCTGGAGAATATGGAGATTCCCTGCTCCCAATTTCAACTGAACAACCTGGCTCCTTAAGAGGCTGGGTGCTTTTGCTTTCAGTTTTATTTTTGCTGAAGACATTCAAAAGGAAGGCATTCAAAATACGAGCTTCATGAACCTATAGGCACACAGGTAATAAGGTAAAGGTAAAGGTTCCCCTTGACAATTTTTGTCCAGTCGTGTTTGACTCTAGGGGGCGGGGCTCATCCCCGTTTCCAAGCCACAGAGCCAGCATTTTGTCCGAAGACAATCTTCCGTGGTCACATGGCCAGTGTGACTTAGACACGGAACGCTGTTACCTTCCCACCGACTTGCCTACTTGCATTTGCATGCTTTCGAACCACTAGGTTGGCGGGAGCTTTATTACACAGGTAATAAAACAACCCAAATCTGAGGGTATATTTATTTTGGGTTTGTATCCATTGTTTTGTAGAAAGTGCCTAGTTTAAATTTAAATTTAAACATAAATTGCAAGGCTATAGTCCAGTCGTGCTGACTGGTGACGTTTTTGACTGACTGGTGAGACATTCTAATTTTTCAAGCCCTGTTCATGCCGGTTCATACGTACAGCACCACAGGGGCTGCACATTCCCTTCCTCTGCTTTCCCGGCCAATGGCCCGCTCACCAGTTGTAGCATCTTCCTCTCCTCTTCAGCTCTTCGACCAGACCCCAGCAGGAGTACGGGTTTGCCCGTCCTGCCTCCTTGTCTGAGTGGGTGATCAGCCAGAGAGATGAGGCAGGGAAACCCATGCTCCTGCCAGAGACTGGTTGAACTGCTAAAGAGGAGGAGGAGAGGAGTGCGCCCTGACTGATGGGTGGGGGATCCACCTGGGGAGGTGGGGGAAGGGAACGTGCAGCGCCCATGGTGCTGTGTACAAACCAGCACGAACCTATGAACCAAAGTTCATGTCTACGTATCTCTGCTTATGATAAGGTAAAGGTAAAGGTTCCCCTTTACAATTTTTTGTCCAGTCGTGTTTGACTCTAGGGGGCGGTGCTCATCCCCGTTTCCAAGCCATAGAGCCAGCGTTTGTCCGAAGACAATCTCCCGTGGTCCCATGGCCAGTGCGACTTAGACACGGACTTATGATACCAAACAAGAAAACTCCCCAGTCTACTGATTGCCTATCTAGTGTATCTGTCCATTACTGTGTTTTCTGTTCTCTGCTTCAAACTAACATAATTGTTCTTGTGTAAAATGCCAGTATATGTGATGGTTTCTGTTCAAAACACCAGAAGAGTAAGAACAGAAAGGAAGACCTCCTGTGTAGGTAAGAAATGATACTGAACCGCAGGTATTGCTACCTCTCCAAGGATCTGTAAGGATGGCAGCCGCCAATGCACAGGTGTTGGTTATATAGCACAGAAGGCCATCCACATGTTGCTGCCTCGGTGGATGGCCCTGATTTGCAACACATTTCTGTTAATAAATCAGGACGACTCCTGCAGGAGAGCAGATGGAATAAAGCTGTTCCCTGATAGCTTTCAGATTTGCGTAAGCAATACATCATGATAGCTCATTAATGTGGCTCCATGACAACTGTTCTGCCTAAGTTCAATTTTGCTCAAAAGACACTGTGTCTTCTGATACTTGTGTCTCTGCATACACGAGAGACATCATATGGAAGGCAAATGTGTGATGCTTAACTTGGGGATCCTAATGTACTTGTAAGGACTGCCATAGTTACAACTGTAAATGTTATTTGAAAAGCTATAGAATGTTACTTTGGTAATTTCTGTTTTATTCATGGAAGCTAAGAATCTACAGCCCAAGGCACAACACTTACAAACCACAAGTTTGGCGGAGGGACGATATCCTGTGTCTGTCTCCCGAACCCAGGGATTTTTTTTTGATTTAGAGGTAAAGACAAGTAAGGGAGGTTATTGAAAGCCAGCATGCATAGTGGGTAGAGTGTGTGACTAAGGAGGACTCTCCTTATGTTCTTAAATATTCCAATCAGAATAAACTGTATTTAGAAGTCATTTAGAAACCGATTTCTGTTGATCGAAATAGTATTGTACAGATAAGGAAAAGCCTAAGAAATGTCAGAAAAGTCCCCTATATGTTAGGGCAAGCCAGAAGCTTTTCATGAAACACATGGACTTTTTTTTTTAGTAGTGCTACATTTATTTATTTTTATTTATTTATTTATTCAATTTATATGCCGCCCACACTACCCAGAGGTCTCATGAACTGAAGCAGTATATAATGTTGGGGAAGACTCCGTAAGCATATTTGTACTTGGAAAATAAGAGACTGGATAACTTAGTGGTTTAAGTATCTGGCTGCAGAGTCAAAGGTTGGGAGTTTGATTCCCCACTTTGCCTCGTACAAGTAGAGCTAGACTATGTGGCCTTGGGCAAGCTGCACAGCTCCAGGATGCCCTGATAAGAAGGGGATGATAAACTATTATTGAATATTCTCTACCTGGAAAACCATGAGGTCAGAATTTAATTGATAGTACATGATTATGATTATTATTACTAAGAAGAGTCCCCCCTTTAAAATGGGAAGGCATCGATCTGCCATATATGGTAGCATTGTTCAACTATCAACTGTGTTAATGAACATAACTGAATATAGAAATGTGGATTGGAATTTTGTTCACCTTGGCAGTTTGGGGATCGAACTGCGGGGCAGGGGCATGTCCTTCTGAAATGGTAGGGAGAGTTGTCTTTTCTTCTCTGTCCCCGTGTTTGTTACTAGAATTGACAGTGGAAACGTGACCCTACCGTGATCCTTATACTAGTGCCGTGGATTCATGTAATCTAACTGTTGCAGTTCAGCTAAGAGTTCTATATATTTATCATGATGAATAAACTTTACAGCATCCAGTGTGAAACAGATTTTACTGTTCTTTTGGCCATATAATCCTTTGAGCCCTGCAAAGGCAGTTGAAGCCAAGGGAGAGAAGAAAATAAAATTGAGAGATCTTCCTCCTTGCAAGCTCTGGGTTAGCCGGAGGCTTAATTTTAAATCTCCCAATGCCATAGACAACATGTCATTCCATGCCCCATTCTGGCCTCCCTTTCTCAATAGTATCTTTTCCTTCTTTTTGTCTTTTAAACAGATGCAGATTTATTTCTATAATCCTGATGACTTCGACAGCTTTGGGACAGCAGTGCAAGAGAAAAGAATAATAGGAGCCATGGCTGTCTTCTTTCAAGTAAGTTACTTGAGTGACCCAGAAGTTCTGAAGGCAAGAGGTGGAAAAGTCTTCTCTCTTTCTGTCCTAAATTTTTCAGTGTTATTGTTGTTGTTGTTGTTGTTAACTGAATTGTGTTTGGCTTAATGGATGCATCTGTTTTCTCATTCACACCTGTCTAAATGAAGAATATTTCATATTGTCTGTTGTGTGATTTAAAATGTAAATAAGTGTGTTTAGAAACATAATGGAAATCTTTGCATGAATTATTCTGATTTTTATAGCTGCCTGACTGGTGCACAGATTGAAGAATGCATTTATCATAGAACTTACCTTGCTGTTGAAGCATGTTGCTCAGGTTCTTGGAATATTAACGGGCCGGTTAGGCTGGAGGAAGACTTTAAATTCAGATGCAACTTGCCAGCATATTAATCAATGTCGTCAGTCAGCTTTCCTGTCCTTCCTCCTCCCTTCTCCTTTTTTTTTCTGCAGCAGCATCTTATTATAAATTGTCATGGTAACTAAATTTCTCAAGGAAACCAGGCTTTCCAATTCATTGAATTTATGGAGCCCCTTCTTAAAAGATGCTTTCTTGCCAGGATCTGAGTGTTCGGTTAGCTCATTTACAGGTTCAGCACATCTGAGGACTTGTGGTGCTTTGCAGGGGGCAGTGCTTATGATGGCTGACAGGTCAAGTCAAATTGAAGTGATGTTCAACGTCTTTGTCTCATTAGACTGGAGAGATGAGCAAAGGATAAATTGAGGTGAAAGTGATGGTCCAACCTTATTCCAGCAGTCTGCTGCAAGTACACATACACAGAAGCTGTGCCTTTCAGTGAAGCAAATCTCAAAGGAACCTGAAACGCTGGTTTCCGGTTCCTTTGAGATTTGCTTCACTGAAATACCTCTTGGTTCTTTCATTTTTATGGGTATTCTATCCCGTTTTAAGACTTAACACTGAGAAAAAAAAAGTAGTGATGAAAAAATAACGTAAAAACATGTTGTCATTGCCAAAGCAATTACTAGGCATTCTTGGAATTTGTTGGACAGGTGTATTCCATTGGTATGAAACAGTACAACACGTGTCTTCTTAGGGCTAAAAGATGTTCATTTAACTGCAGTGTTTGGGCCTCAAATGCAGGACTTGATTTATTGAAAACAATACACCCACAACAATACACACTAATCATCCCATCTCACAGCCATAAACACTCCACGCCCTAGCCAAACTACACCAGAGCACAGTTTGCTGTCCTCTGAAGATGCCAGCCACAGAGACTGGTGAAACATTAGGAAAAACCACCTTCAGAACACGGCCAAGAAGCCCGAAAAACCCACAACAACCACTGATTTATTGTCCTTGTTGTTTTTCTTGCTGATAGTCACAGAGCAACAGTGGTTGTAGGCTGTTCAGTTGTTTCTGGCTCATGATGAACTAATGGCCTCCAAAAGGTCTTGTCATCAACAGTCCAACTCATGTCTTTATCAATAATCAGTTTTACAACAGATTGTATTCTTTTCCTATTCCACCTTCAATGTCTACAGCAGTTGAGGGGTACAGGGCCTTTAAATGTTGACCCCTGCTTCAGTCTAAGTAGGATAATTTCCCCATGATGGCAATTGGCAAAAACAGCAATGGCAACCTTGCACTGAAGGCCAGAACCACATAGCAAAGGTAAAATATAGTTTGGCCCTCCGTGATATATTTATTTTGACCATGCTAGAGACTGCAGTGTTAAAAAGGAGGAAAAAGGCCTTCCCCCCCCCCGCAAGGACTATCAAGGAAAAGCTACATGGGGAGTTGTATGTCTGTAGATTTGGTTTTATGCTAAAAGAAAAAGCATTTATCATTTTTGCAGCCAGGGCATTCTTTTATACATGCTTGCTTTCTTTGGCTGGGAAGGCTGACCTGACCTACACTCGATGTTCGGTTTCAGTCTAGTTCTCTATTAATTTCAGCCAGATTCTATTAAAAAAATAAACCACTTGACATTAAACTGAGAGTTTTAACCACTGGGAACATAATTGGTTGAATTAATTTGGTCACGGAAAGAAGGAAGGGCAAAATATGCTAGACTGTATCTGCATCTGTGCTTTCTGTCTGTAGGCATTTACATGAAACCTTTACTTTGACAATGTTAGTGAAGGGACACAAGCTGAGAATCCCTGATCCATAATCCAAACAATACATGGGAAGAAAATATACTGGATTCAGACTTTTCTTTTTATTTGCACTGTTGTACTTGTATCGTTTCTGGCTAATGTGAACTTCTCCATGGATTGCAAAGGAGCTGCTGGGCTTTCATGCCCTTCCAGCTCCAGTCCCTTTACACTGAACCTGCTCACCCACCTCTCCGCTTTTGGAGACTGAAGTGTATTCTTCCATATCGTCGTTCTGTTTTATTCAAGTTTTTAAACGTCAAATGGAAAGTAAACTTGCAGTATAATTAAAGTGGCCAATGTTGAGTTTCAAATATTACAAAGCACTGAGCATCAGGCTGAGTATCAGAATGTTTTTTTTTTTCTCGAGTTCCTCTAGGGCTATTTCTATGCTCCATTTGGCTTCCATTGTGGTTGTAATCTCTGCTGCATATTACATGCTGCAGTATCTCACAGAGTGGCAACCAGCGAACCGTGTCTTAGGAAGGCCTCATGAAATAAAAGGTTTCTCCCTAAGCTGTGAAAGGTTGAATACTCTTCTGTTAACCTTTACAGGAATATTCTTAATATTACTGATGTTTCTCTATAATCTCTGATAGGGCTGTTTTAAAGTAATATATACACGCATACACTTTTTAAGTGTTCTTTTTTGAATATGGAAAGCTTTCTTTAGAATCATTTATTAAAGTCTCCTGGAACAAAGAGCAACGTCTAATTCAATAGAAATGTTCTAGTTGAAAGAGGCCCAAGATTTCTCCGGCTTCTCCTGCATACCTCAGATGGTTTCCCCAGCTTCTGTCCCAAATTGAAAGCTAGCACGGCTTGCTAACAGTCGGACTTACTAAGGTTTGCCTGATACGGTACGTTCCCCCACCCAGACTCTTTTTAATCTAGCAAGAAATGATTTCAGCATGTTCTTTTCCAAAGCAGGCGCAGCTGTGATGACACAAAACAAATTCCAAACCCCATGGTAGGGTGCTACCTTCCTTAAGCCCACCAAAAAAAGCACTACAGTCTGGAAACTTCCATAATTACACATTTTTTTTTAAATCAGGGAAGATGCTAGAAAAGTAAGGTGAGAGTGGGAGTGGGATAGTGGAAAGGCTCGGTCGTAATTTGTGTGATATCTTGAGTTATAATGGAGGAAGAAAAATACACAGATGGTCTATTGGGGCTCATTAGATGATACAGGTCAGTTATGTTTCTCTCAAAATAGCCTGTAAATTTTGCTTTGTACTTCGTTTAACAGGGCAGTGAGGCCAGCATTAAAAATCTTTTGTCTGGTACACCATTTACCATCTGAATTTCATAATATGCTGTTTTGAAATAACTTGTGAAAGAGTTGCCTGCTTATGTTCCAGTTTGTATCCATTTCACCTTCGGTCTATCGATGTGTCTGATCTCTTCCCCAAATACCGAAGAAATCGCCAAAAGAAGAGAGGAAGGAGAGTGTTACATCCTTTTTCCTCAGAAGAGGATCATCTGAGAGGACATGCAGATCACTGGATTGCTGCTGTTACCCCAGATTCTTAATGTTTTCATGTGTGCTCTATTTCCACATAAAGATCATCATTCTCAGGATTCAGGGCCTAAGTCTGTATATATGTCTATTACATACAGATCCATATTTCTCAATTGGACTTAAATCGCAACTAAGTTTGTCTGGATCTTGGCCTAAGGCTGCAGCCCACTCCTTTTAACCAGGAATTCCTCTGAACATCCCATGCTTGGAGTGTGTAGATTGGTTTGTACCTTATCTCAGTAATACTAACCACAGCACTGTTGTGTAAGTTTATGCCACCCGTATAGCGAGGCTGGAGGTGAAGCTGAGAGAAGGAGGGCATGTTCAAATTCCACATAGCGAAAATCTATTTGAGGCAGAAATTAAAGCCAAGAACTTCCTGACCTAATTCTTTTTCTACCACTCCAAACTCTAATAATGTCCCCAAATTTTCTTTTTTATAGTTAGATTTTATATTAGGGGAAAGTTACACTGTACTGTGTAATTAGTAGTGACACTTTTAATAATGAAGAACCCTCATTTTTGCCTAGTTTAATAATTCATCTACAGACATGTAAAAGTTTTCAATTTTCAGTTCATTAGGTTTCAAGGACAGTTGCAAAGAACCAGTACAGTGGGCCTTAAATGGAGCAACTGAAAGCTGTTATAACATATCTTGTTTCCTCCTGTTCTTTATGTTCATCATAACAGATGCTATGGAACAGACATTTTTCTCAGTATATAATGCAACACAGAAACTCTTAGATGTATGTTCAAAATACAAACATGTTTGTGTATAAGAGGATTTTAAGGAAAATGTTACTGATATCATAGAATCATAGAATAATAGAGAGGGAAGGGGCATATAAGGCCATTGAGTCCAACCCCCTGCTCAATGCAGGAATCTAAATAAAAGTGTATCTGACAGATAGTTGACCAACTGCTTTGACAGTTAGGAAGCTTTTCCCGATACTTAATCAAAATCTGGATTCCTGTAAATTGAGCCCACTATTATGTGTCTTGCACTCTGGAATGATCAAGAACAAACTCTGCCCCTCCTCTGTATGACTACCTTTCAAGTATTTGAAAAGAGCTATCATATCTCCCTTCAGTCTTCTTTTCTGAAAGCTAAACAGGCCCAGCTCTTTCCATATCTCCCTTCAGTCTTCTTTTCTGAAAGCCAAACAGGACCATCTCTTTCCATCTTTCTCATAGGGCTTGGTTTCCAGTTCCCGGATCATCCTTGTTACCTTCCTTGGAATTTGCTCTGGTTTGTTGCCATCTTTCTTAAAGAGTGATGTCCAGAACTGGACACAGAATTCTAGATGAGGCCTAACCAGTACTGAATAGAGGGAAACAA